TATTAACAGAGTAACAGATTTACCAACTGTGATTGTCCCTAATTTCTTTCTTCGAATAAACTGATAATCTGAGAAAGAAAGAAAAAAAAAACGGAACAAAAACAAACATTTTATTTATTTTTAATCAAAAAAATAATTGTGCGAAAAAAAAAGCAGAAGAAAACAGCAGAGAATTAATATTTATAAAACAGAGGTTTTTTTTTGTTTATTTGTTTATTTATTTGTTTTTTTTTTCTTTTTTTTTTTTCTGGATAAAAGCATTTATTTTACATAAAACTTTTCTTTTCATTACTCTATGTACATGTAAACACTGAAGTCACTAGAAAAATTGTTCACCATATATTCTGATGACTACCTAAGCTGAAACAAGAAGAAGAAAAAAAAAGAAAAGTAGAGAAAGAATGGAAAGAAAGAAGTTGTATAAAGATGTATAATAAAAAAGGCAGTATACTTATAATAGTCAGAAGAAAGAAAAAAAAGCAGAAAAACTACAGAAATATTTCAAAAAAAAAGGTGAAAATATATGGTTTAGCAGAAAATGAAGGAAAAAGAAGGATAAAGGAGTATTTACATGCAAAAAAAAAAAAAAGAATTTCATCTGCAATAATAGCCATTAACACAGTACCAAACAGTGCAATAATAAACAGTGATAACACAGCAAATAACAGTGATAATAACTGTGTGCCAATAATAATTTGGGTAATAATATCACTGAACAATAGGTGATAATAATACTGATAGCACTGATAGATATCAAAACAGTGATAAGCACAATGAACACCGATAGCTGTCTAATCATTACAGAAGCACTATAATTTGTTTCCTTTTCTAAGTAAAGAAGAAGAAGAAAGGAAAAAAAAAAAGGAAAGTGGAAAATATTTGCAGCAACAACAATGAATGTATTACACTTAGTCATTTTAGAAAAACTACTTTTTTTTTAATGTTTTTTTTTTGCTATTTTTTGTTACCTTTAAAGTTTAACAGTTGAAGAAGAAAATATAAAAAGACAAAAGATTAGGCAGGTTGACTAAAAACGCGAATTGAAACAAAGCAAATTTTTGACAGTTATTGGTGACTTCTTTTTCCAACTTTCTTCTCTCTTTACCCTCTGTATAATCACATTCAAAAAAGGAAAAAAGTGCAAAGAAAAAAAAAAGTTGAAGAAACAGTGATGGAAAAAAAAAAGTGAAAAAAAAAAAAGAAAAAGAAAGGATTAACGGAACGATTCCATAATGAGAAATAGGGAATTTGTGCACAAAAAAAAAGAAATGATAAAAAAAAAGCAAATCAAAAGCAGAATAAGAAAACAAAAAAA